AAATCTAATTATATTTTCCTTATTATATTCATTATTTCCTTAGTGGTTAGTTTGAGAAAATCCCAGGTATTTTGAGCAGTAGGATTATAAAAATATATATATGCTCATATAAAATTAAATGATAAAAGTAGGCTATATAAAACCACAAAATAAACATTCATCTATCAGTACTTTTGTACTTTCACTCGAGTAAAATTGAAAACGGGAGTACTTTTACTGGAGTAATATTTTATTATACGGATCTGTACTTTTACTCAAGTACTTGATTTGTGTACTCCGTCCACCACTGCGTTTACTTGATTAAAATCAGTCAAGATTTGACAGGAGCTAAAGCTGCACGAACAGAATTGACACAAACAGATCCATGTTTACAAAGAAAGTACTTTATTTGCTCAGAGGAACAGGAATTCGCTTAACATACATCTGGAATCCTCACGTCCCTCCTCATGTGAATTTATAAAATATTCTCAAGTCGAAGCCACAAGACGTGACGTCTGAATAAAAACCTGACTGACTCCAGGATAAAACTGAACAAAACGATGCAGGCACAAGTACAGGATCACTCCCCGCCGCCGGAGAATGAGGAAGGCCACTCTCTCGCTCCTTTAAGAGTTTACATGTTCGCAATACATAAACGAGAATAATTCATATAATCATCTTTTAGTTGTAAAAGACGATGTTAGTACTAAGGAAGAAAAGAAAATGATCTCTAGAGATAAACTCGGGAACTGTGTTTCCTTTCAATTTGGATCGAAGACATCAAGAACGAAAGCACTAATGTGGGTTATGCGAAATTTGGGCACAGTGATTATTCACCTTATAAACGTGCGTGTTAAACGCAAAATTGGCATCTCTAAATGGCAAATTATTTCCAAGATCTCCCGATAATAAAATTGCGATAGAAATATGAAACACAATTTGTTCCTGGCGTACTTCAGCACTAGTTTTCGCCATTCATCTAACGTTTAAAATCAACACAGATAATAACAAAAACAAGAAAACGCAAACATTTAACAGAACTTTATAAAAGAAGTAAAAGTCGGGCTCGTCTTGTAAAGACCCTTGCGATCTATTTTTCTCTACTTTGTGTAGAAATATTGGCGGCAAATTCGTGAATCAACACTTTTTGAGTTGATCAAATGCACAACTTTAGCAATGAATCGCTAATTAATCCGAGTATCTGTTAACTACGTACTAGTCCGATATTGTATCGTGTGAGCAAAATCTGCTCTAAAGAAACCAAATTAAAGTCCAGCTTAACAAATCCGAAGCATATTGATAGCTGGCCTCAGAAACGTGTGGTAATACACGGCTGAAATGCTCAGACTCAGTCACACATCTGCATAAAGAAACGTTTCCGAGAGCTTTCCTCTGCGATATACAACGAGCTGCTCGTAAATGAGACGCACACAAAAAGAAAATATTATCCAGCGTTTTCCAATACTTCAGAAATCCACGATGAAAAACACAAGCTCTGGTGCTTTGGTGAATGATGGCAGATATTAGCGCCAATCCCACAAAAACACAATCAGATATTTCACCCTAAAAATCGAATCAAATAAATAAAACAAAATAAAATATTTTCAGCGGAAAAAAAAAAAAAAAAAAAAAAA